CCCCCCCCCCGGTCCCCCCATGTCAAAAAAAGCCCGGTCTAGGTAGGGTTAAGGTGTTGATTTCAGTTTTTCTGCATGTTCTTTGTGCTGCATCATGGGAGAGGAGTTACAAATCACTTTACTGAAAGTCCTGGACATTAAGACACAGGTGAAACATTAGTGAATAAAATAAATGAAAACTAGATTGACGTCACTCACCTCGCATTATCTAAAGTAGGGGGATGACCTTGAGGAATAGCCGAAGTGACCTTGGTAGGTCCCGTTGGCAGCCACTTGTTTGTCTTTTTGTCCCTTGGAATCATCTGAAAAGTAACAATTGAAGCAACCGTGATATCTGAGAATGTTTATAGGTGATAACAATCGACTACAATATATATATATATATATATACAGCAGGTTCAAACATTAACACATGAATGAACCTCATGACCATTGATAAGCATGACGTGCTGCCAAACAACTGGCACTTCTGTGATACAACACTGTTTCCCATTCATAACTGAACAGCATCACCCAACCGTTAAATGGCATACAACCAACACTGTATTTGCCTCCTGTGCAGTCCCCGCGGCGGTGGGGAAGAGCTTTTAACGCGTTATTTTAATATAGCCGGCCTTCCTACATAGCCGCCGAGAGAAGGTTACATTCCGCCCACGGGCTATGTAGGAAGGCCGGCTATATTAAAATAACGCGTTAAAAACTCTTCCCCACCGCCGCGGGGCCTGAAAAGGAGGCTACATTACATACATACAGCCAACACTGTACACGCACTGCTGTTTGCACTGTCTACTCATTCATAAACGCACAGTAGACTGAGCGAACATGACACCTCAAGGTCAGAAGGTCATCGGTTACCACAAACACACACGAGCTTTGTTGGTACACAGGTGTCAATAACAATGGGAGTGGCAGATCACTTACACTTGTATACTGCATATACTGCATAGCAGAGGCAAGCATTTAGTGTCATAACGTAAGGCACAACAGCCGCTAAGACATATGGCTGGTTATATCTGTGTTTAAAACAATGTGAGTTAACGATTTTCTCAAAGTATACTATTGTGAGGTGCGTTGCCAACGGTATCCAAAGCACAAGACGTTGTACAATGTAGGATCTGTGTAGGAAGCAAAACTTACCCGTCTCCTTCGTAATAACAACAAGGATTGTCAAAACACAGACATGACTGATCACGTGACGAGAGACATTCAAGAACAATACACTAACTTGGTCGACCTCGTGAACAACTTGCAAACCAACATGGGGGCTGTAAAGAACGAACAAGACAGACAGAAACGCGAGTTTGAAAAGGAAATGAAAGAACTCACCTCATTCTCACGCTCTTTGAGAAACCAGTTAGATGCAGAACGGAAGAAACACAACAACGAAATTAAAACCGCAGCCAGTCTACACAATGACGAGATTGCCACCCTCACAGCTAGGTGCGACTCCCTACAGACTCTAGTAGAGACTCAACAGCAACAGATTGCATCATTGCAGACTGAGGTTACATCACTACAAGTTTCTCAATCACTATCAAATATAAGAGCGACTGTAGACTCTGACAACGTCACTAATGTTGGACCACCAAGTGCAGACAACCCTCATGCAAATCACACTACAACACTGACAGAAGCAGAAACGCAAGAGTCAACTCCAACCGCCGAAGTTACGCAACCGGTTCTACGACATACAGAAGAACCAGCTACTACAAGAGAACCACGTGAAGTCAGAGTGTATACGGACTCTATCTGGAAAGCTGTGGATGTAACGAGAATGTTTCCCAACCGCTCTACCTGTAAGGACAATGCTTCAACAATAGACCATGCAACGAAAAAGATCGCACAACTGAAAGACCCTAAAACTGCTTACGCCATATTCTATGTCGGGTCAAACGACCTTAGTAACAGCAAGCACGACCCTTCTTCTGTGACAGACTGTCTCGAAAAGACAAAGGAGCTTGTCGCACAGGCGAAGACTTGTTTTCCGAACGCCCAGATCATTCTGTCTCAAGTACTCCCTAGAGGAGATAACTTGGACTCAGACTTGAACAAGAACATAAAGGACTACAATCAGTCGGTACTACAGCAGAGTAAAGACGACAGAAAAACCATGTACGTTCGCCACAAAAAGCTATCGACGACACGACATCTCTACAAACGAGACGGAATCCACCTGGACAACATCACAGGAACAAGTCTCCTGGTTGCCGATGTCAAACGTACCATTCGATCTGTTGAGGATACCCAACGAGCCAATCGCAACAGAGACAGTTTTAACCAGAGCCGACCTGCTACAATCCGGAACATTCCCCCGCCAGTGGAGTCAGAGTATGCTGGTTCCAATTCCAAAAAGTGGCGACACATCGAAGCCAACAAACTACAGAGGTATTGCCATTTCCAGTTGTGTGGGCAAACTATTTACATTCATCTTGAACAAACGACTACAACATTACGTCGAAACAGAAAACTTATTGTCTCCTTTCCAATCCGGGTTCAGAAAAAACTTCAGAACATGCGATAACGTTTTCGTCCTTAAAATATTAATTGACCAACAGATAGCCACACCAGGGAGGAAACTATATGCCTGCTTCATAGATTTCCGAAAAGCCTTTGACTGTGTATGGCGAACAGGATTATTTTACAAAATTTTGTCAGCAGGCATAGGGGGGAACTTTATCAAATTAATAAAAACAATGTATTCCAACGTAGAATATTGCGTTAAAACGCCAAATGGGCTATCGCCCTATTTCCGATCAACATGCCTTGTCTCACCCCGCATGTTGATTGGAAATAGGGCGATAGCCCATTTTTTTTGAGGATCACATGATCGTGGATGTAAGATGGTTGGAAGATCATTTAAAATGATCTTCCAACCATCTTACATCCACGATCACGTGATCCTCCCATCCTTAAAGACACACCTATCAGCAGCTTATTTTGGGCGGAGGATCTTGTTCTTCTATCGAAATCTGAGTCTGGCCTAAAAGAATGCCTAAGAACCTTAGACCAATTTTGTTCAATTTGGAAATTATCAATAAATGAAAAGAAAACTAAAGAAATGGTATTCTAAAAAAATCGACGGACTAGTCTTAGCCAAAGCTCTCCTTACAAAATACAAGACCGCAAAATTGACATTACTACCTGCTACACTTATTTAGGAGTCGATTTTACACCTTCAGGTTCATTCAACCGCGCCACTAAACAACTAAGATTAAAAGCTCTTCGAGCCTCATTTAAATTAAAATCAATGTTAGCGTCAAACTTCAATCCATCAATTTCACTTGCTCTACGTAGAAATGTTTAACAGCTGCATAAAACCAATTTTACTTTACTGCGGTGAAGTTTTAGGGTCAAACATACACGGCAGAGACCTTATTCTTCACGGGATAACAGAATATCAAAATGAGAATATTAGAGAATCAATAACTCAGACCTTTAATACGATATTAGGATCAGAAACTCACATACTTCGAGCTTACCGTATCGGGAATAGAACCGACACTTTCTCTACCCGCCCCGTCCTTGTCCGATTTAAGAAGTACAGTGACAAGCTAAATATCACGTATCAATCACGCGTCCTAAAAGACCAAAACATAACAATTGAACAACCATTGATATCCTAAGAAACTCCTGACTTGGAGTATGTACTCTTGAATTACTGCAAAATAATACTCGGCGTACCGAAAAGCTCTGTTACCGCTGCTGTCAGGGGAGAACTTGGCGTTTTCCCACTATACATTGATACACAAACACAGTTGATAAAATACTGGCTCAGACTACATAATCTACCAAACGACAGGATTGTTAAAAAAGCTTACGACACCTCCGTTGAATTACAACACGACTGGGCTGTACATGTACAGGACATTCTCTGCAGACACGGCTTTCAGAACATCTGGTTAAATCCTGCCGTTAATGCCGACAAGTTCGGTAATATTTTCAAGGATCGCCTAAAAGACACGTTTCTCTCTGGCTGGAGACAAGAAATTAAAAGTCTTACCAAACTTAACACCTATTGCAAAGTCAAAACACAATTCTGTCTGGAAAACTATCTTGTATCCGAACAAATCTTTCAGAAACAGCATAACGAAACTTCGGATAAGTGCCCACTCATTACAAATTGAAAAGGGCCGTCACCATAGCACACCAGCCAATGAGAGACTGTGTCCAACGTGCCATAATGATATTGAAAACGAACTACATATTATGATATACTGTCCAACTTATAATGAAGACCGACAAAAAATGTTACAATCTATTGCACATAAAACCGATATAGCGTTACCTCATACCAAAACAGAGATATTCAATGTATTATTATCATGCCCTGTACATATATCTACCTATGTAGGCCAATTTATATATAAATCACTACAAAAACGAGACAATGCTGTTAATTCCTGACACATGATATTATTTTCTGTTTGATATTAGCGTAAATAGAGAATCTGTGCGTAATTAGAGAACCTATGTAGATTAGCTCACTAGACCTGTTAGATAGATATTAGTAATTTAGTCAAATTCTGATACACAAATTGTCATACATACTAGTACTGTTAAATAGATGCTGATGTGATGTGCAGATCGTCATACATATTAGTAAATAGATGCTAGCATTAGTTGCCATACATTGTACCCGTTACAATCGTCGTGCAATAAAGTTCATTCATTCATATAATGCTGTAACAACCCATGATTATGCAATAGTATTTTTAGAAAACTGCTCCTACCAGTGGGACCAACAAGGCCCATCATGTTAGCCTGCGCCTTCCAATCACTTACAATATACCTGTAAGGAAAGTAGTGGGTTTCCATTAATCTGTTCAGATGTTGGCATTGTTCAACTTACAAAACACCAAAGATTTACAACAGGAGTGTAAGCATTGACCAGAGCACTCCCACTGTACGAACCTGTCTACCTGCCTAGGTGCTCAGGCCAGGAACTGGCCCCTTGCTCCTCTCCGTCAGGGTTCTCCAGCCCGCTCTGTCCAGGGCTAATGTCTCTGCCTCCCTTATGGAAAGCCCAGTGTCTTTTGTTACACAGTGATGATGAAGATGAAACTCTGTGGAGAAGGAAGAGGATGCGCTGTGTTGAAAACCAGCCAGAAGAACATGGGTTCGAGTCATTTCGAGGCGTAGATTGCCCCACCCCCCACTATTTCCCCACCCTTACTCTTCCCCCTAATCTTTCAACACCCCTACTCTTCCCCACTCTTTCCCCACCCCTACTCTTCCCACTGGGAGTTGTGTAATATTCATGAATTTGATGTTCAGAGTATCATTCCATTTGGTGTTTTTTCGCGACACATTTGGCTTGTTGGCGCTGCGATACAGGCAGAAACATGGTTTTAATGGGTAAAAATACGTTGTATGAGAAATGAAACGTTGTTGGAAAAAAAACGGTAAAAGAACAGGAAAACATGCTGCATTTGGCAGTTATGAACCGGCTCTTTTCGTAGTGCCGATGTTCGCCCGACGACCGGGCCGCTATATCAACGTAAATTTCAGACGACTTTGTTCCTTTTGGCGTCTCAATCTGACTTTATATAGGAAGTCGTCGGCTGATTTGGGTGATTTGTTACCTTCGCCAAGAAGGTTATGTTTTCAGTAGCGTTTGTCTGTTGGTTGGTTGGTTTGTCTGTTTAAGCACCCCATTCGATCACCTTCCACGATAACTATCGTAGAAAGGGGACCACCATCCATCGATACATATCGGGGCAGAGGAGTACGCTCGTCCTACAGCGTACACCTTCCACGATAGCACAGCGAGTCTGAGGGAAGGTTCTACGCTGGTGGGGTCACCGTCCAGTACAGCAATGCATGCTGGAGTGACGAAAGGTCGTCAGATTTTCCAATATGGCGGCTTTCATGTCCACCTGATTTGAACGGCGGGACAAGGCTCCTCGCGCAGTTATATGTATAATCAGGTGTGCGACCCTGACCTAGGGTCACCTTTAGCTAGCATGGCATGGCGCCCCATTTTGGTGCATTTTCGGACATTTTGATTATTTTTAAAACGTTATATTCAGGACGTTAGACGTATTATGCCGCGACGAGATTTTTTGTTATGTTTATAGTATTTTCGTGGGAACCATCAACCGATGAAATACTATGACAGACGGACAGTTTAGCATGTCTACAGCTTGAATATTTGTGTGCTCGATCGATCGACTATATATATACTTATATATAAACATCACATCCAGTGAAGGCATGTGTACTACGTATACGCAAGGAGGTAAGATCAGGTAAATATTGGTAGGTATTTCTTCTTGCACACTGCACACATATCGGATGTTCCTACACTTGGCCGAAGAAATTTACTCTACTCTACCCTACTCTTCTCTACTCATACAAAGGCCCATAAGTACACTACAGACAAATCCTAATGTGGGAA